CTGCTCCTTCCCTGGGGGCCTGCCCCAGGCTGACCCTGCCTGAGACTCCTCCCCTACTTCTTTTCCAAGGGCTAGCCCACCCTCTGAGAGAGAGAGAGAGAGAGAGAGAGAGAGAGAGAGAGAGAGAGAGAGAGAGAGAGAGAGAGAGAGAGAGGAAAAAGCAAGGGTACGTGTGTGTGACCCTGGGGAAGCACAGTGGCTATCTTTCGGTCCTTCTCCATCCCATTGCCGTCTTCCTTTTCTCCTTTCTTCTCCTTTCTCCCTTCTCCGTGTCCTTCCTCTTCCCCTCATGCCTCCCTCCCTCCCCCCACATATGACACCTTGCTCCCCTTTTCTTACTCCCTGGGCACACCCTCACCTTTCCTTTACCCCTTCCCCTTGACCCTTTACACCTTCTCCACTTTCCACCTCCCTTCCCAACCCCTCAGATGATTGACGGCGAGGCCTTCCTTTTGCTGACACAGGCGGACATTGTGAAGATCATGAGCGTCAAGCTGGGCCCAGCCCTGAAGATCTATAACGCCATTCTCATGTTCAAAAACACTGATGACACCCTAAAGTGACTGGCCAGGGCTGGGTCTCCTCCAGTCCTTGCTGGACCTCCCTCTCCAGCTGATGGTTCCTTCCTGACTGGAGCTCCTCATATCCCCTCTGTACCCCCATCCTCTGTATCTGACCAGGCCTGGTCTTTCCTAAATGGTGGAGAGGGGCCCTAGGGAAGGTCAAGAACTGGCCGGGGTCCTGGGGCTCATTTGCCTTCAGGGGTCCTGGTGAGGACATGACTGAGCTGGGCACCATTGCGGGAGCTGCTTGCAGGTACTCTGTCTAAGGGACCCCACATCTCCTGTAGACAGTGCTGTGATCAAAGGCTGTTTTCCTTAGCAGTAAGGAAGAGTCCGGTAGAGCAAGAGTCCCCACCCTGAGGCTCTTGTTCCTTTTCACATCTCTGTTATTTTTCTCTTCTTGGCTTTTTTCCTTCTACCCAGAAGTGTCACTGCCACAGGCATTTAGGCAAAAAATGCCTCCTCCCTTTCTCCCTGCTGGTTTTATGGCCTATAGTTTCCTGGGCAGTGCCTCCATCCATGGCCCAGCCGGCTCTATGGCTCTTCCCTCTAGACATGTGAGCCGCCTCAAAGCGTGTCATCACAGTTGGGTGTGGTGGCACATAGCTGTAATCCCAGCCCTTTGTGAGGCTGAGGCAGAAGGATTGAAAGTTCAAGTCCAGTATGGCAATTTAATGATTAGCAAGACCCCTGGGAGGGTGTGGCTGGGATGTAGTTCAATGCAAAAGCCGTGGATCAACCTCCAGTGAGAAAGAAAATCAAGGGAGGGAAGGAGGGAAAAGGAAGGAAGGACAGACAGATGGACAGATACGTGCTGTCATGGGACCCACTGGGAGCACCTAGCTGCCTTTGTCTGTTTTGCCCAGTAGTGCAGGAGACTCAGAGCCAAGATGCCTTTGAACATGCCCAATGGGGTATGTGGGTAATGACCCCACTGGGTCCTAGTTCCAGCAGCTTGAGCAAGTGGTTGGGTCCTGATTTATAGCTGGCAGTCTTGCACATGCTCTCTCTGATGGGTCTAGGAAAGAGGAAGCCTGGTCTGGTAAGTAGCCCAGGCCAGGAGGCCAGCTCAAGGGACTGTCAGACAATCTCTGGCCAAAGGACAGCTCCCTCCAGAAGCATGGTGGCTCCAAAAGATGAGCAAACGTCCTCTACATCCATGGGTCTCAGCCAAGGTACTGCCTATGGGCAAAGGGCCTCTGCCCCCCAGGCCTCCTGCCACGGAAATGTGGCACTGTCTAGCACTTCCCCCTCAACATGAAATCACATTTGATCCATCCCTTGTATGTTTACCACTTGCTCTGGAGGTGTCTTACAACTCTCCTACCTTGGAATTCTCTGTGTTCCTAAGCCCTTTTGCCACTCCTCATGTGTCTTGCACTGCCAGCTGAGTCCCTGCAGGGCTCCACAACTTCAACCTCTCTATCCACATGGGGACCCAGCCTCCACTGAGCCACTGCCAACCCTCCACACAGCTTAGGTGAGAAGGGCCGGAGCCACCCCATAAGCCAACCCCATGTGGAGGTGAAGGACCGAGCTCCCATGCCCCGCCCAGGTGCTGAGACGGGCCAGCAGGCTGTGGAGCTGAGGTCCTTTCCGCTGACCCATCCCCCTCTGTCATGGGATGTGTGTGTGTATGTGTGTGTATGTGTGTGTGCAACTCATGCAGATGCGGGGCTCATTGCTGGGACCACGTCAAGGGCTATTGTTAAAATATGAAGCTTTTTTTTCCTTAAAGGAAACCCTAAGCTCTGTTGACTCCCTGCCACAGCCCTATAGAGGCTGCCCTCTACTGTGGGGTGAATGGTTTTGGGACACACCCATTGAGCCTCCAGCTAACCTCTGCAGAGCTTCAGGTGTCCCTTCCCTTTCAGCCCTCAGGTGGCTCTGAGCACATCCTTCCTGGGAGGACAGGTGGGCAAGCCTGGCCGCAAGGTGTGGCTGGATTGACAGAGATGACATTGCTGCCCCTGGGCGGAAGTAGAGCAAGCACATGCAAGTCTCTTACTCTGACTGTAGCAGAACTCACCAGCTCCTTGCCCTTAAGCTGCCTCTGAGCTGCTTGCTGACTGTGTGTGAGGAGAAGGCAGCAGGTGGCCCCAGCTAGTGCTGTGCACCTCACAGCTTCACAGGAGAGGGGCTGGGCAACCTCTGCCATGTGGATCTGCCAGCCACCTAATGCTCACCCACGGAGAAGGCCAGCTGGACCAAAGGCCTCTGAACTTTCAGGCCTCCACCTCCTCTGCACTAGTGTCAAACCTGTGGGAAAGAAACCAAATCATAGAAAAGCAGGAAGCAGTTGGCCTTCTGCCTTTCACCCTACTGCTTGCCCACATGAGCTCTCTGTACCTTGGCCTGGGGTCACAGGAGGGGAAGGGAGTGGGTGGCAGTTCCTGGTGCCCTGTGCCCTGTTCTGTAGCAACAGGCACTACTTATACTTTGGCCCCAGTGGGCTCGCCCAACTCCTGTCCTGTCCCAGCTGAGAATAAAGACAACCTTTCTGTTTAATTTCTCTCATTTCTTCTAATTCTCTGAGCAGAGATTAGCCCCAGACTTTGAAAATGAAACCTGTTTGCACTTTCATTCACATGCACTTTGGTGGGGTTACATTTTTGTACTAGTGTGTGTGTGTGTGTGTGTGTGTGTGCTTACACTTATGTTCTGTAAGAGAATCCTCTGGTTTAAGTGAAAGCGATTCATGAGGGAGAAATAATTGCAAACAAAATGTGGTGTGATTTGTCAATGTATTGATGCAGAAATAAAGTTGAGCAGCTGGGTAATATACAGCCGGAGTCTGTTCTCTTTCCACGGTAAAGCACCCGGGAAACTCTAAGGGAATGCCTGTGCTCCCATCACTGGGGGGAGTGTTCTCCCCGCTGTTAGCTAGAAGTCCTGGAGGATCAGATCACTGTACTATTTTAAAGGTAAGAAATAAGGATAAAGTGCTGAGGAGATAGCTCCACGGTCTAAGCGCCTGCCTGGCAAGCACGAGTTCAATCCCCAGTACCACATGCCTTCCTGGCCCTAGAATCCCAGGTGCACCATGCCGGTCCTGAAACCAGGCATGGTGGCACACACCTGTGATCCCAGTTCCAGGGAAGCTGAGACAGGAGGATCACTATGAGTCTGAGCTGTGTAGTGAGACCCTGTACCAAAAAAAATAAAAATAAAAATAACAACAACAAAAAGAAAAAAAGGACAAAAATAACTGAGTATTCTTGTCTACACTGGAACTGTAAACAATGGAAACTCCAGAGAGCAGTGTGGAAAGGGGACTCATCTTTGACTTTTTTTTTTTTTTTTTTTTTTTTTTTTGCCAAACTGCGGATTGAACTCAGGGCCTTGCACTTGCCAAGCAAGTGCTTATTCCATTGAGCTATTTCCCTGGCCTGTGGAATACCAATTGTGGAGATGCCCAAGAGCCTGTCTTCACTATGACCAAGAACTTACCCAGTTGAGTAGATTGGAGCCATGGAAGACTGACAGGCGCAATGGGAGGCCGCAGAGCTGCGTAGGAAGCAGCTGAGGCCTGAGGAGCTCGGCTCTGACTGGCCCTTCCATGTTCCTCAAACCTTTCCATCCATTACCTTCTCCTTCATTTCAGTAGATGTCCTCACCATTTATGTCACAGAGAAAATGAAACCTGCCCTTCCTTCCACCTCATCTACATGACCCCTTCCACTCACATCCACCCCTCCCTTTTGCTTACCTGCTAGAGTAGAAGACCAGATGCCTCCATTTGCCAGAAGTCAGTCTCCTACCAGCCATGGCTGCAATGAGAAACGAAAATAAACAGACATATAAAGCAAGTGCTTTTGGAAATTTGAAAAATACAAGTGCATTATAAGATTTGAAAGATAAAGTTGACATTGCCCAGGAAGTAAGGTAAAAAGACAAAGAAATGAAAAACAGTAAAGAATGTTTAAAAATTAGAAAACTTGCTGGAGAT